GGGGCCCAGGTTGGTGTTGCAGCTGCTGATTCCCAGGAAGTCAGGCAGCAGCAGAGCAGTGCCAGGGTGGCAGAGATAAAGCTGCAGCTGCCATGGGATGCATGGGACAAAGTGCCCCACAGCTGAGACACCAAAGCTGAAAAATCGGTGAGAAAGTCGTCCAGCACCTGGCTGATACCCACAGCTCCACTCTTGTTTTCATTGAGGGACAGTGCTGGACTCTCCCCTCTGAATTCCAGGGGCAGGCCTGGGAGAAAATAATGGATTTAAAGCTGCCTGTGTGTGAGAGTCCAGCCAGGCACCCCTGGCCTGCAGGAGGGATGAGCAGGGCAGGAGCTGCAGGCAGTGCCAGATCCCTCAGCTCTGGTGGCCCCAACGCCTGCAAGGAGCTCCCTGAGTCCCTGCCCCCAGAAATGCAGAGTTTGCTCCCGTGGAACGCTCCCAATTCCAAACTGGAATGGAGAGTTTGCTCCCGTGGAACGCTCCTAATTCCAAACTGGAATGGAGAGTTTGCTCCTCTAGAGTACTCCTAATTCCAAACTGGAATGGAGAGTTTGCTCCTCTAGAGTACTCCCAATTCCAAACTGGAATGGAGAGTTTGCTCCCATGGAACGCTCCTAATTCCAAACTGGAATGGAGAGTTTTCTCCCATGGAATGCTCCTAATTCCAAACTGGAATGGAGAGTTTGCTCCTCTGGAGTACTCCAAATTCCAAATTGGAATGGAGAGTTTGCTCCTCTGGAGCACTCCAAATTCCAACCTGGAATGGAGAGTTTGCTCCTCTGGAGTACTCCAAATTCCAAACTGGAATAGAGAGCTTGCTCCCGTGGAGCACTCCAAATTCACCCTGCTGCTGACTCTTTGGTTGTCCAACAAGCTTTGCAGCCAGCCAGGAGACAGGCAACGACGTGGGGCCCCTCTGCCTTGGGGCAATGGCATTCCCACCTTTCTGAGGCCACCACTTCACCAGGGGAGTGTGGGAGTGCTCTGCTCCTTTTGCCAGCTCCTTTTGCAGGGCTGCATTTCCCACTCTTTTTTAGGCACGAGGCATTACAATAATCCAATTTAGACATGGCAAAAATTACTGTCCCTATGCCAAGGCATCTCCTGAGCTGAAAACTGTCATTCCCAAAGAAAGGGTCACAGCCTTCAGTGGGGCTGCAAGCCTAACATCATCATAATAATTTATGCTAACAAAGTGAGGCTGATGGAAATGGGACTTACTGCCAGGAACAAGATGAGGAGATTTTCCTGGGTCTTACCAAACTGTTCTGATCGGGAGCACTTGTGGTCCAAATCCTTTCCTTTTTCCAACCCTATGTAAGAACTTAGTGAGGCTTTTTTAGGAGAGTGGACAAATTAATATTTTCAAACAAATTCTATTTATCCCTGTCTCTGACCCCTAAATTGTTATTCAGATTAATATTTTCTTTATTTCTTGTGATAAATATGGGAATTACTAGGGGAAAAAAAAATCATCTGTAGGCTCCTAAATTGGTTTCTAATGATTAATTCAGCAGCACGTTTATAAATAGGAAAAAAGGGGAGGAGGAGAAGTCAGCAAGAAAGAGGAAAGTCTTCAAGACATACAACTGCCATTTTAACCAGTGGCCAGAACATTTCTGTGGTATTAACTGATACTATTTTGTTGGTGAAGTGGTTGCTTCCCACCCTCTAGTGCAGGAAGCCTTAGTACATTTTTAAGTTAAACAAAACTCCCTCCTGAATTCTGAACAGTGGCTACAGAAACATTATTTGCAGACATTCAATTGGGAGTTGTTCTCTCTTTCACTGCTCTGTTCAACATCCATGGCATAGAGCACAAGGACAGTGGATGCAATTCACTATTTCAAGTTTTAGGGATTCATATCTTCACCAGCATTGGTGTTCAGGTGCTCCCTTGTGCACAGAGGGAGTCAAGGTGCCCATTACAGGCCAGAGGTCTGAAAGGAACCTCCTGGAATGCACAGACATCACCTTTGATTGCAACTGCAGATCCATTCAGGTCTCTGGGATGCACTTGAAATTAAACCTGTATTGTCTTTCAATAAAATTAAAGAGCCCTGAAGTAAATTTCAGCATGATATAAGTAAGTATTAACTCACTTTTTTTGGGCTACATCTCACCAGTTTTCTGTCATATGCTGCATTCTTAATCACTGTCAACTCACTGTATTTTCCTTCTCAGTGAGGAATGCTGATGTTATGCAATGTTACTATGTAGATCATGCTCTGCTTTTTCTACTCCTATTTTGAGAAAATGCTTCTGAGTAAAACTTCATTTTTGGCCAAGTCTTCCCCAGCAGATAACATTTTGTCTATATTTATGTGACATGATTTTATGCTTCATGGTTTTGGCAGGTGGAAGAATGCTATTTTTCACATTTTTCATATGGTGAAGAATGTACAGAGTCTAGTTTAGCACAGCAACCACAGAGGGTTTGATTTGTTTTCCTAGCACGTGTGTCACACATAAAAGGCAGTGTCCTTGCACTGTAGTTGTTAATAACTGGCTGCTCCAGATGGATTTGTGCCAACACAGAATCCACCACCACAATTAGCAGTAGTAGGAACTTCAGCTGGCAGCAGCAGAGAAAGCAGTAAAGATTAAATGACTGTGTGAACTGTCTCACCAAATTAAAAATGATGTGCATTGGCAAAAAATGAGAAAACTCACACATTACTTCTTATATTCTGTTCTATTTGGGTAATAATTAGAGAAAACATTGGTGTCTGGGACTCACTATTTTTCACATGACACGTTCGCCCATTAATGACAAGAGTCTGAGTAACCATACCAGGAAAACATCTCAAATTATAAAAACTTATAGATGACTTTCAAATGCTTGAGAATACAGATAACCTTTTGAAGAAATTTGATTTTTAGGGACATATCTTAGCCTGTTACTGGTTTTTATCTAGTGCTGCATATGTACTTCCAAAAAGTCTGGCTGGAAATTCCACTAAATTGCATCCAATAATTTTGTTTTCCTGGGAAAAATATCTTCCAGGAGCTTCAAAATCTCTGCAAAATAGTACTCATGATAATACTTCTACAGCATAGAATATGATCTTGGTCTAGAGCAGATAATTGTCAGAGCTGCAATAACAACAAACCTTCCCCTTCTCAAAAGCCATGGCTGAATTATGCTAATACCTGTACAAACAAATGAATGAAAAAACTTAGTACAATGAGGATTTGAATAAGTTTTATTGTACAATATTAACTGAGAGAAGATGTTCTAGACTAGCCTATGTTTCTTTAGAGTGACTCACAGTTTATTGTCTCACAGAGCCCTATATGACATACATCCAAAATACTAATTCTCTTCTACAGTTTAAATGAGCCACTAGGAATGTGCTAGAGCTCCTCAGAAATGCCTTAGGCTTAAGAATTGGCCTAAACTGACCTTTGAGTTCATGAACAGTAAAAACCATCTGATTTATATGTCAGTGTGCAAAATCACAGCTGGTAACCACAGCCTTGCAGAGGTTTTGCAGCTGCAGTGATGCAACACATCATTGTCCCTTTGTGAAACACCCAGTCTTACACTCCGGGTGTGCATCCCATTCCTGGATTTATTATGGACAGGATTTCATCCCATAAATCAATCAGGCAGCTCAGTCCTTTCCTGGTCACTGTGAAAGCAAAGGGCAAGCAGAAGACCCAGGCTTTGCCAACACAATGCAGCTTTGTCATTAACTTGGCCCATAGGGATGTGCCAAATTTTGGGTACTCTGGCTGTAGAATTGTCAGGATTAGAGCAATTACTTTGGTGCTGACATTAAAAGCCCCCAGAGATACCTGGTGCCATAATCTGACAGTGTTCAGATGTCCCAAATGGATAATAATAGAAATATAATAGATAATTATAGATATGTAACAGAAAATAGCTTGCCAGGAAGCAAGGCTAGTGGAAAAATAAAGCCAAATCAAATTAAAGTGTCTGCTCAGGCAAATGTTAGCTTTGACTGCAGGACAGAATCATTCACTTTAGACCACTCAGAACACAAAGGCAACACTTCTTTTCACAAGAAGTGCGACCTGTTAGCAGCAACACAAGCTAAACTGGGCATGTAACCAGCCAGGCTCGCCAGCAGCACAGCAGGAGCTGCTAATTTGCTAATTCTTGCATTCCCCATGGGAATTCCTGCACTGCTCCCTGAGGAGTGCCTGAGCACTGGGATAACTCCATGGAGAGTTGTTTGCCCCACCTCTGGAAACCCAAGCTATGAGACCTGAGGAAGCCTCCCAGAGCTTTGGGAAAGCTCAGCCCTCTAAAGCCATGGACAAGCTGGGCTCCCAGGCAGCTGGAACAATCTCTAATGAACTGAACTCAGGCAGGGACAGTGGAAAGAGGCAGAGGAATGTGTGTTATATGGGTTTTGAGAACAGAGTTTATGGATTATTTTTAAGAGAATGCATCCTATGAAGCAGAATTTATAAATAAAATGCCGTAAGTCCTAGTTATTGTACTGCAGTGTGTTTGGTTTTAACTTCATTAATAGCAAATAGGGAAAAATCATGGAAAAACACCAGTTATAACACACTAAATTGCCACAAAAGCAGCACTGAAGGCCACTGTACACAACTGAATCCTACAACTCCTTCATATACCCTTGCCAACCTGCTTTGAACTTCTTGAAACCACTGGAAGCTATCTACAGGAGTGGGAGTAGATTGGACAATTATACTGCTGCCAAAAAAGGAAAAAAACAACCTCCTGCATTTGCTTATTGGCTGTAACACAAGACCTTCAAGCCAGGAGAGGACTTCAAACATTCCAGGGCTCAATTGATCAATACAAACACAGCACATCAATCTCACTAAGGCAGTATACAAAGCCCTGCTCCTGCTAGAGCTGATGAGAACCAGGTTGAGGATGAACAATAATATGAAAGGTCAGGGGCTCCCTTCCCAAGAAGAGCTGTAGAAGTAGTGTTCGTAAAAGCAGCGTTTACTTCTTAAAGAAACCCTCTATTAAAGAAAAGGACAAAGGATTTTCCCAATTCATCTTGTTCCAGAACTCTATCACATGTGAAATCTTCAGTCTATGTGTAACATTTTGTACAGTGGAAAAAGGTCAGTATAAAAATACTGTTCTCTCATTCTTTAACCACACTACGAGAAAAGCACAGTTTATTATAAGAGGAAATAATATTTTATTATAAAATCTGCATGTAAACAAGTAACCAATTAATTGAATAACAGTTAATGGAAGTGCAAATTAACTTAATAAAATCATATCCGTTCTGTATTTAAATATATATATACTTTGATTTCTCCCATTCTACTGTGGTTCTACTCCACCCTCCCCACATTTAAGTTTAAAAAGATTTATCATTGCTTGCTTTATACTTAAAAAGAGTGTACGAGCCTGCGTACAAGTTTAAGTTTTGCTCTGCAAATGAGACAAGTCTATGGTGATAGTTATCCTTTCTTATCTTTGCATCTCTGGTATCCACAAGACAAGAAGATATAGAACATATGTACACAGTGGGCATGTCAAGCCTCATATTTCAAGTTAGTTCATTTACTTGCACACACTGAAACTTAAACCATTTATCAATGAAGCACTGTAGTGTAACTTCCAGACTTGCTTGAGCACCTTAAGGCATTAAGGAGAGTCTCAGTGGAAAAGCCACGGCTGTTTCCACCACGAGGAGCATCCACACGCTGCCGGGCAGCCAGGGGCTCGTTCATCCCGCGTGCCTGCCCTCGCTGAGGGCTCCTATAGCACCGACAGGTCATGGCAAGATTTGGATTTTGCTTTGAAAGCCATCTTCTTGTTGTTCTTGGCCACAATTCTGCCCAGGAACCGCTTGGCCTTCTTGCTGATGCTCTCCCTCCGCTTGGCGTTGGCCATCCTGCGGGCGTTGTCCTCCTTGCTGTCCTTGCGCAGGCGGATCTGCCGCACGATGCCCTCGAACAGGTCCTGCACGTTGTGGTGCAGCGCGGCTGAGGTCTCGATGAACTTGCAGTCGAACACCACGGCACAGGCCCGGCCCTCTGCACGGAAAGACACAAAGGAAGATCAGGGGAGGCGTTTTCTCTTCGCACACACCGTCGGAAAAGCAAAACAGGAATTGGCTCTAAGTAAGGGAAGTGCCTTCAATGCCATGAAAGAGCTTTTACTGCAAAACAGGAAAACCCAAATTTGCTCTTCATGGTTTTGCCCCCTTACTCTCCTTGGTCTTGTTGTGCTGTGGTCAGAAATCTCATTCGATCAATGGAATTGAACACATGCCAGCAATAGTCCTTCAGGCAGACTGTGCCTGTGCTGTTTAAGAGCTAAAGCTGATGTAGGAGAGGCCCTTGGAAGCATGCTTGCAGTCTGATATGGAACAGTGAGAGAGTCCTGGTTTCACATTAAACTGACTTTGGGTAAATGCCCCCTACAGTGATGTACAGAAAAAAATGGGGTTTATTTGGAAGCTGTTGTGCAATTCTGCACCTCTGCCTTGCTGTAACAAGTGAGTTTTCCACACCAGTAGAAGTAGAGCTGATACAGGCCACAAGGTCAAGTCATTGAACACATCAGTAGAGGTCACAACGTTGTGCACCACTGAATCTGACCAGGGCTGAATTTGAAATAAAAGATGTTCTGTGTTCTGGGCATAAGCACTTAACCCTGGAACATTGCTGCAGCACAGATTTCCACAGCCAGCTGTGGTAAATAATGGCAGAGTTGTAAACCTGAAGAAAGTACAGATGTCAGAACTAGAACAGTCAACCATACCCTGCCTCAGCCTGAAAAAATAATCGTCTGTGAACTCCAGTCAATTCACTGGGAGCATGGCAAACCAGATAGGGAGAGATGGTTCATCATCAAGGCACCAATGTTTCAGAGTATTCTTTCCAGTGGAAAACAAAAAAACCTACCCCAAAACAAAACCCAGCCAAAGAAAAAGCCTCACAAAATGTTTCAATAAGCAGAATCGAGACTGTGGTGTTGGCAGTGGTTTCTGTGCTCTAAGTACCCAAATGCTAGCTGGAGCTGGATGAGAGGATTCTCACTGATCACAGCTGAAGAACACAAAAAGACTTTTGAGTTGTATGAGCCTGGTCCCACCAGCTCAGCTCAAACGTGATGGAGTCACCTCCAGCAGAAAGGGCTGCACAGGCTGTGTGGGATCCCCTGCCCTGAGGCTGCCTGGCTCTGTGACATGGCACTGTGTCTCCTAAAGAGCACAGCTCAGACTGTCACAGCCCAGGCTTGGCAGGTGCTGCTGCACACATACCACACAATTGAAGCCTGCCTTCAGTAGTCCTGTGCTGAAGGTGCAGCTCGGGTGCATTTTTCTCTCCCACTGCAGCTCAGAGCTGTGCAGCCACACATCTTGCCCCACACCCATCTCCAGTGTTTCCTGTGGTACCCAGCCCTTCAGCCCCAGCCAGCTGGCTCCATTTCCCCAGCAATCCTCAAATCTCACATTTTTCTACATCAAACCAGACCATTCCTATTGGCCATGATCCTGCATAGCCTTTGCTACTACTTTAGACAGCACTTGTAAAATTCAGTGTCTCTTACCATCAACAGAGACCTCCCGGGACCTGACCAGGTCACTTTTATTTCCCACAAGGATAATAGGAATATCCTCTGTCTGCCTTGCTCTTCTCAGCTGGATTCTTAGCTCAGAAGCCTTTTCAAAACTAACTTTGTCTGTCACCGAGTAGACAATAATATAGGCATCTCCCATTTTCATGCAGTGGTTCTGGAGCCATTGGCTGTCATCCTGAAACAACAGACAAGAAATGGATTAATTGTGCTGAAAAATCTATTTAACACTGAGTGATGATTTATTACTCTAAGTGCCTTAAAGATTATCTTCTTAGCTTTATTATAAAAAATAAGCAATAATAATAATTTACCTTTATGCTCTAATAATTAACTTTGCTTTTGACTTTATTATAATAAGTAAAAGTAAGCCAATCTCCTAAAAATTCCAAATATTTTGTTATTTAAAATACAAAACAAAAGAAATTTCTCTTGTTTCTAGAAGTAATATCAGATCTGCACTGCTCAGATTGACAACCTCTAATTTTACAGCAATTCCATGGGCTGCTCATGTAAGATAGCGGTTATTCAAAGCCTTAAGAGAGTCTCACTCAGCTCTATTCAGGGTTTTAAACTGCCTGCCTAGCTACAAGAAATTAATTGCAGAGAGAACAAAAACCAGTATGAATTCTGATTTTTAATGTCACTTATCTGATTGAACAAAAAGGCATAGTTGCTCCATTTCTACTTTTTTTTTCTTAAGAGTACTACAGACCAAGCCATAAAGCAAAAGCATGAGGAAAGAGCTTTAAGTACCTGCTCCCATATATCAAACACCACGAGAGATGCTTCTTCTCCATCAACTATAATTGATCTGTCGTATGTATTTCCTACGGAGAATTAAATAAAATTTTAAAAAAAGTTCAGCAAAAGAAATTCTCCTCCTCCATCCCTGCCGGTCGCAATAGGGGATGCTCCGAGCCGGGTGTCCCCGGCACCTCCGCGCTCGCTGTGCCCTCACCGGCCTCCTCCGCGTCCGCGCAGTCCTCCACGCCGCCGAAGATGCGCGCCAGGCTGGTCTTGCCGACGCCGTGCTCGCCCAGCAGGATCACCTTGTAGAGGCTGCCGTCCGAGTCGCTGCCCGAGGAGGTGACGGAGTCGGAGGAGTCGGAGGCCCAGCTCTGGCGGTGCTCGCCCCCGGGGCTGTACGAGGTGCAGCGCACCAAGCCCGACAGCTCGTCGGGCGGCAGCGGCCGCAGGTCGCGCTCGTCCACGGGCATGCTGCGGCGGTGCAGGTGCTGCTGCGCCGCGAACGGCGTGCTGCCGCGCCGCTTGTCCCCGCGGTTCAGAGTCATCGGGCTGCGGGCAGGGCACGCCTGTCAGCCCGGGCTGCGGCACAGCGGGGCCGCCAGCGCCCC